GTTCTAGATAATTTTATTGTAATTAGGCTGGCGAGAATTACAGCACCTTTTTTATACAGTCCGCTATTTTGTCTACGTCCACGTTCAGTAGTTTCAGAGAACTCCTACAGTCAAATTCAAAATTTCAAACGTTACTTGTACCTCTTTATGACATAAACGGGATCATGAGCGCTGAAAGCCACCTTCTAAGCTCTAGAGTAATAGTTCATTATTTAACATCATCAAACAAAAAGCTTTTCAGACGATAGTGAATCAGGCCTTGGAAAATCTTAAAGTTTTAACTAAAATACAGAAACAAGGGTCTCAACGCGAAACTTTTTATATGAATATAAAGGACTCNGCGGTATCTGATGGGCGTAATTTTTCATTACATTACCATAGGATAGTCATGCAGGCGTGAAGATAAAGCGGGGTCCGACCGCCCCGTACCTCGCGCGAGCGACAGAAAACGATACGCGATTAATTTTAAGTTTTTTTTGTTTTACACGTTTGTCAAAGTTTTTTTTTTCTTTTTCGCATTTTGGGCTGTTTAACACCTATGTGAGAATCTTTTATGAACTAAAGAAATTGTGTGTGTAATAATAAACAATCGATTTCTATTTTAGATCACGTGTTAGTTAACGCTACGCTATGTCCTCAAATTGTAGAGTAATATGTCACTGACACGTTTAATAAAACAGCAAGCTGCAATGGGTTACGTACAAAATAGTAAATCTATGTCACTTTATCGTATCAAAATCTAACATTGTCTAAGGCTCTGGGGTGCAATTTCCGGAAGCTTAATTCATCATTTATGACAGTCAAATTCAAGCTCTAGTAAAATTTTAATAGTCAAACATAATAACATTAAATTTTATACTAATGTCAGTGAAAAAAATAACTGTCTTCGTCCATGTTCAGTAGTTTCAGAGACTTCCTACAGTCAAATTCAAAATACCAAACGTTACTCGTATTTCTTTATGACATACACGGGATCATGAGCACTGAAAGCCACCAGCTAAGCTCTAGTGTAAGTTCATTATATTGTTATCATCAAATAAAAAGCTTTTCAGACGACAGTCAATTAAGCCTTGGAAAATTATAAAGTTTCTACTAAAATAGAGAAACACGGGTCTCAACGCGACACTTTTTATCTGAGTTGCATAATGTACTCACGGCTTGACGTTTTGGTTTCGGCTCCTATGCTGCAACCGTGGTCATAAGCAGACTGGCGGCTCGCAGCGTCGTCCGTTCGGGTGGGCTTGAATATTTTCAAATACCTTCAAATTGTCATTTGTTACACTACTAGTGATGTACCACGATACACAACACTCACAACATCCGCAACCATGACTCGTACAACCGAGTTGAAACGTCGGGAAGGTAAATATCTGCTTACCTTTATAAAAGTGTATTTTTTGCAAAATCCCGTAACAGTGATAATTTTTTATTTTAGTTGAAATGGAACTCGAAAGTTTAATTAAAACCTAAAGTTTCAATATCTGAAAAAGGACCAAATCAAAGAAAAAGTTGTATAAAAAAATAAAGCGAAAAATTAAAAAGATAAAAGTTGTACTTAGTTGTATCATGGTACCGGTCATTTTGGGGTGAAGAGTTCCCTTAGGAAATTAATAGGAACCCAACGCCGGACCCTCGCAACAAAGTGCGCACCCAAGCCACGAGGTGGCGACTCCAGTCTCGTTTTAAAAATAAAAATAATGTTCAGATTATTATTTATCTGTCACACAAAAAAGCTTTGGTTAAATAATTATTATGTAAAAGTACCTAAACAAATAATGGACTCAAAGTTGTAAAAATTGTATAAAAAAGCTACTTAAGTGGTAACTTAAAAAAAAAAACAGATTTTGTCATGAACCAAATATCAATAAGTCGCTGAAAATTCAACCTTCGCCAATAGTTGAAACGAGGAACTAAATAGCAATAGCTTATGGTGGTTATGATTCTGAGTAAATACTGGAAATACCTATAGGTACTAACTTAGATCCTAAATCAAAATATTTGTATTTTTTTTCTGTTAATAATATCAATAACATGTTTACTATCTAGATATCATATTCCAAAAGAGAATAGTTATTAAATGGAATTTTAATTATTCGTAAATAATTACATCTAAGCATTTTATTAATAAAGTAATGTAGGTAAGCCTTTTTTTTGCCCGAGATACAGGAATTATAATTCTTAGTTCAGGCACGTATGTACTTTTACCTATTATAGTTTAAAATTAGCCTATTGTTAAAAACTGTCAAAAAGTTATTCAATAAAGAATTTATTTATTTATTTATTTATTTTTGATGAGTGCAACTTAATATGCACCTAATGAGTAGCACCTAGACACACGTAAAATTAATAAACTACCGTCAGCAAAACACCGCCCGAATATTAAATCCGCTCGTTCCAAGGAAAACACGAAATTTTCATAATAACGCCGGATTTACATTCTAAAATGCGAACTTATGCAATCAGCTAAAATACAAAACAAGTTGTGTTTTGAGGCATTTAATATTAGTGCCGAAACTCGCCTGGAATATTCCAGATTTCCAGAGTATGTTGAAAACTAACGAAATGAGACCGCGCACTGTTTATTAGTTTTAGTAAACGATAATTAACTTTAGCGGGGAATATTTAATTTTGCTGGTAGCTATTTGGGTAATTATGTTGGCTGTAATGAACTTTTTGTCTAGTCGCGTGAACATTTTTGGGAGTATATAAAATTAACACGTTGAAGTTAAAGTGAGTGTAGAGCAGTGTGAATTCTTCAAATTGGATTGGCTTTTCCCGTGACTTCATACATTGATTTATCGTGAATTTTGTCACCTAAGTAGGTAGTTACCTCTACTGAAATTAAAATTTTGTCTGTATAAATAAAAAACTTGTTCAAACCACTCCTATATTATTGTCATCTATTTTATTCGACCTAATTTTCTTATTTATTTTTCAGCGCACGCGATTTTACTCTTCTGAGAGCTGATTTTATCATCGTCGGAAAACTTTTAACTGAATAATAAACTTGTCATTTTGACATATTTCCCATACTGAAACTGTCAATGTGCCAAACTTATTCTTCAGTTAAAAGTTATCCGACGATGGTAAAATCAGCTCTTAATGGAATTTCTATAACGTAACCAATTACAGTACAAAATGGAACCTCCCCCCGCCTACAAGTCCCGGTATCTCCAAAGCAATTACAGAAGCGCAGAATCTAATTTGGAAACTACTCTGGAGTCCTGGAAAGTTCCACACTATTAAAACTTCCAGCCACTAATTCCAGAGTCTCACGCACCGCACTCTCATTTGGAGTTGCGTCGGCCGAAGTTGCCGCTCGTATATAACCATTTGGTATAAAATACGGACGAAGTGCAAAGTTAGACAGCGCTCCTATCCTTGGTGGCTATAATTTATGTGTGGCCAACTTATACTGGGGAGGGTAAGCAGAAAAATATTGAAGGAGAATGTCCATTATATGGACCAAAAACCTAGAATCGATTGAAACTAAATCGGTATCAGTAGTTTCATTGTTGTAATGCTCATTTTACTCCTCCGGAACCTAAGTTAATCATGTAAATTATAAATAACAATGAATCAACAAAATTTTAGTCCCAACCCAATCGATTCTGGGTTTTCTTTTACCATCTCTGATACCAGCAGCCTAAGAATCTAATACTTTAAATAAATGTTCATAAAACTTTCTCTCGTCAAATTACAACAAATCGTGATGTGGAAGCCTATAAAACAAAACTTAGCGTAAGAACTTTCTTTAATTAATATTATTATGACTGTTTAGTCTTTACTTACCGTTCTTACCTTTTACTTTCAGAAGGCTGTCAAGAAATTTATCTCCTTTGGGTCTCATCAGATCTCATAAGCCAGCAATGGATTTCAAGAAAAGAAACCATTGTGTACCTATTTCGGCGAGTTGATTTCAGCGGCCACTAGCTAGTAACTACGCCTACATGAGAAATAACGTAAAGATCTGATTTGCGACTCAAAAGGTCTTCGTCGTTTCAGCCAAATGACATCCACTGCTGGACAAAGCCCTTCCCCAAGGATTTCCATCACGACCGGTCCTGCACTGTCCACACTCATGTACTTACCTTAATTCAAAATGTCTTTAGGCTGAGTTGCACCACCTAACTTTGACCGTAACTATAACCGGCGTTTTTTGTATGGAGTTTAGCAGATTTTTTATATTTGTCAAAGTTAAAATAAGATGGAAAGTTAAAATAAGATGGAACCAAGCCTTAATTTGCCGTAATTATTCTGCTGTCGGTACATAGCGGCGAGGCGCCGGCCGCGGTAATTGTACAAAAGTTCCGATCCTCAGCTATGGTGAATTTGTTCACGCTTCCTTACACTGGCCGGCATACACGGGCGTTTGAACGCCACGTCTCAAACGCTGGTCTGATGTACGCTTCAGTTTTTATAAGATGCGGTGCTGTAAAAAGAAAAACATGAATTTATTAGTAGGTAGTAGTACAATGGCTTAAGGAGCATGAAGGCGCTGGATGCAGGCCGCTACCAACCGTGCGATATGGAAGTCATTGGGGGAGGCCTGGACGTGGACGTCCTGTGGCTGAAATGGTGATGATGACGATGATGAGTACAATGGCAAAATAAAGTAGTTATTACTGATGTGAAAAAGCAGGTAAAATACATGACAAGGATAATTCGTTTTATGTAAAATGATATTTGAACGGAAAGGTGTTTAGAAAGCAACAATAAATTCACTTAGCATGAAGTATCAAGAAGCTTATGTACTAATTCAAAGCTTATTTCCACAAAATGAAAATTATTTAGTTTCACGATAATTGAAATTAAAACAATGCTGTAAAATAATGTCTCAGTCCTTTTTCTTTCAGAAACTAGAAAAACAGTGATTCTAGTTTCGTCGTTTTAATTTTTGTTCAAATTAAAAAGGCTGTAATCCGTTACCATACTCTTACATCACTTCATCCCACCGCTGACATAACCAGTTCCAAATCAAATTCCCGGCGGTGGCAGCCTCAGTCCGGCGGCGAAGTTACGGCGGGGCGGGTCTTGCGGCCGCCGGTAATGAGCCGCCCGCCCTGCGAAGATGAGCGCGCAGATACGCCACTAGTATTATACCTATTTATTACCTACCTCTAAAAGGCCAAAACATTTTTTTTAAGATTATTAGCAATTTTATTTATAGCCACGATAGCCGAACGGTGAAGGGGTCGGAGTGGCCGACTCGAGATCCGAGGAACGCGGGTTCGAATCCCACCGCCGCTCGACTATTGCGGTGAGCCCACTCGTAACACAAGCTTATTTAGCTTACCACGAGGGGCTAACGGGACTATTAGTAATTTACGCAATACCAATTGCTAATAATCTTTTAAAAAAAAAAATATTTGTATTGCACAAATTACTAATAGACCCATTAGCCCCTCTAAAGAAGCTTGTGTTACGAATGGGCGCGGCGGGATTCGAACCCGCGTCCCTCGGATCTAGAGTCGGCCAGTACGACCCCTTCACCGTTCGGCTATCGATATCGTGGCTATAAAACTTAATACATTACCTATTTTATATGTACACACGGCCACACTGTTAACTATCCATTTCCGTTTTTGCTCTCACTCTCATCAAATGGTGATTCTTTGCGATAGAACAAGACGACATGACAGGCAATGGATAGTTAACACCGTTGCCGATGGTACTTAGAAATACTCACATTTTGATTGATTTGATTTGATTCACTTTTAATGTAGTTGTTAAATAAGAAACCAAAAATATCGCCATTTTAAACCCACTGATCGGGCGTCTGACGTCTGAATGAATGACGTCCACTACTGGACAAAGGCCTCCCCCAAGGTTTTCCATTATTCCTGCGACCTTCACCAGATCGTCGGTCCACCTAATAGGAGGCCTGCCCACGCTACGTCTTCCAGCCCGTGATCGCCACTTTTCTGCCCCAACGGCCATATTTATTCTAAATAGGTGCGTGTTATACATACATTCAAAACATGTTTTCCTATTGTAAGACTAACTTATGTGGACTCATGATAAAAAAGTAGGCATAAATTCGAGTATACGTAGGTATCACACGTCCCTTCTGATTTTTTCCTCCCAAATCTATGTCCGAAGTTAAATTTTGGGTCCGCTCTCGAGACTACAGATATTTATCTGGCCGGCCCGGAGTTTTTTAATATAAATGTTCTTTGTTCGTGACGCGGGAAAGTTTTAATGAAAATTCAAATAAGGACAACTTTTAACCTTTTATTTTTCGTGTTTTTTTTTTCGGTTAGAAATTGTTTTTGTTGTTTCAAGTACTTAGGCGAAATGACGGTCTGTTGGCCACGCTTCGGCAATTTACTCGGTTTAATTAAGTGTCTGTTACTTTGATCATTTATAATTAAACCTAAAGTTGAATTTGAATTCATAATAAGACGAGATTACATTATTATTCTCAATTTCTTTCAATTTAGTACAATATTATGCACTGCTGCATGCTTATGCAGGTACATTTTAAAAATGAGAACCCCTCCTTTTGTTGCAGTCAGTTAATAAAGTATTTCAAGACAATATTCTTTCAAAGTTTAGGGAAGTACCTACTTATACCAATTTATTTAAGGTATCTGTATATTGAGGGCAAACAATTATCTACGTATTTACGTTGCAAGGGTCAGAATGGTAATTTATTTTACGGCCGTATCAATTCAAAGCCGAAGTATTTGCCCAGGCCTCTCATATTTCGTCAACAGCCTCCTAATGACGGCTCCTATTTGCGCCCTGTTTGCCTGAGGGACAGGGCTTGGGCAAATAAAGCCCTTTTTATTTGGTCTACGCCAGCGTTTTAATCAAGTAACCCCATACTTAATTACTTAACGGAATTACGTGAAGTTGTGGCCGTTTTTAATTAGCAAGCCTTGCCCGACACTTGGTCGGGATTTACTAGCGGGCAGTTAAGCAGCAACTAATTTTGGAACTTATTAGGGCGAAAATGTTAGTAGTTAACTTTTAAATCATTAATTTTTATTATTTTTGTAGCGTCATCTTATCTTATCAGGATACGAATATGTATTTGTAAATAGTATTCTGAGGCTGAGTTGCACCACCTAACTTTAACGATAAGTATGACGATAACCCTGGGTTGCAACATCTTACTTTATTTAACTTTGACAAACGTCAAAAATCTGTCAAACTCCATACAAAAAGCACCGGTTATCGTTATAGTTACGGTCAAAGTTAGGTGGTACAACTCGGCTTAAGATGTCATGAAGTTGCGACCTGTAGGTTAGGATACCTTTGCTTGATTGAGCTTTTGTACCAAAGTAACAAATTAAGGTAGTTTATGACCCTGTCTTCAATTTGTTCCAACAAATAGTTTGTAATTTCAGTAAAAAATATATGTTATCGAGCTATTATTTCCATTTGTTAAGATAGCAAACTAAATTGTCCAGTAGTTATACTCCGCATATTTTTGCAAACACCAATATTTATTTTGAACCTAACGCGTGCGTCCAATGTTTTTTTACACCGACCAAAAATTAACACGCTAAATCGATTCCTGCATTGTACTTTCAATGAATCCCAAAACTAATTACCGGCAAAATTACATTTCCCAAATACGAGTACGGGCGATCGTCAAAATGGAGGCCGTAAAATGAGTCGCCATTTTGCCTTCGACCTTTTCCCTCGCAAATTAAAATTCTCAAACCGTCCGCACTTTGAAAAAGATATATGGGTGTTCTTTCATCTTCCGTACCCTGCTGAGCCTTACCGCGGGGCGCTGCCAACCGCGCGGGCTGGACGGACAATTGAACTGAGGGCGGTTTTAGGGTTCTATGGTAAAACAACAAGGTGCTTCACTCCTGCTAAGGCCCAGTTTTTTGATTCTTAGTTAAAATAACTAATTGTTAAAGGACAATGTTCGTTCTCCATACATTGTTCGCCTAAGAACCAACAATTTTGACATATTACTACCCGAAAGCNAGTGCTGGCGACTTGCGGAGTTGACGGTGCGATCTCATAGACTTTATCAGCCAACTCGCCGAGTTTGTCCTTATCGAGGTCCATTTGAGAGGCGATGACTGTCTGGATGTTCTGCGGCAGCCTGCTGGACCACAGAGTAAGCAGGAAGTCAGAAGGCACCGATGGACCAGCCAAACCCGACAGGTGACGCAGGAACTGAGACGGCTTCCGATCGCCCAGCTCTTCGTGCATCAGAAGCTGCTTAATCCGCTTTTCCTGCGAAGCTGACAGTCGTTTAATTAGTTCGGACTTCAGCTTTTCGTACTTTTCCGTTGGCGGCGGGTTGGTGATGATGTCCTTCACCTCGATGGCATATTGGTGGTCTAACTGCGCAACTAAATAGTAGAACTTGGTCTCATCCTTAGTTATACCCGATAGGACAAACTGTGATTCAACCTGGGCAAACCACAACGCAGGCTCCTCAGGCCAGAAGGGCGGGACTCTTACGCTGACTTTTAAAATTTCTTCATTGCCCATTATTACAAATTCGAAAAATCGCTCACCGCTTATGACCACACCGCGGCCTTATCCTTTTGTAGATTTTTTCCAAACTACGACTGCTTCGGAAATTCTCCTTCTCCGTCGTCGGGGTCACCAGATATGGGGGTTATTTGCCAACAACCCACCATATGTTTTCCTCGGAATCCTATTCCGATTCTTAATAAGATTATTGTTAGGCAGTTCGAGTCAGGAAATAAAGGTAGGAAGAACACGGTGGAAGGAAGAATGTTATTAGCGGATTGGAAATTATATTTAACAACAGGAATAGCAAGGGATTGATTAGGATACAATAGCAATAAAATTATTTAAATCTTAAGAGCAAAGCGATCGCGGAAGAAGTGTCACGACGACATANTAATGTAACGATTTAACAAAAAAAAACAATCGACGAAAATTGAAAAAAATTGAAATTTTTACTTGGCCTGGTAGGAAAGTGCAGTGTCGGACAACATTGACCGCGTTGGCGTTCAATGTGTTAAGCTTTTTATTTAAGTCTTGCGTTTTAATTTATTAATCTAAAACAAAGATAGGGAGGGTGTTGTTTGTAAATATTATTATTTTTAAAAAGTATTTTATGCAAGTTTTACTTGAAATAGGTACGATTTTAGATTTGAACTGAGATGTTTGATTTACCTTTATTCTTCCTTCTTTTGTGTATATACCTAATTGTTATTCCTATATCACAATTAAATAATAATATCTTGAAATTTATTACTGTAAGAACACTGACATAAAACTACAATGAGTTGCTATATCAAGTTAAAAATCGAGAACAGATTATTGAAATCAAATATCTAGCTGATTCACCTATTAAAATGTTCTTACACCCATCTAAGTTTATTAATGTGTATTTTTCATTAACGACACCAAATTTTTTTTTTCTATTCCTTATTGCATTTCTTTGTCAACAACCCCTACAAGTTGGTGCTCCTTTTTACTCTATTTTTACCTCGGAGGTGTTGCGGCGATGCCCAGGTGCCACGATGAAGCGGTGTAATTGGATCGTCGCCTGGCAAATTGTCCACTCTTTAGGTTTTAAGGGCAATTTTATCGCTATTTACTTTAGGTATAATTAAGGCTGAAATTTATGTATTGAATAAAAAATGATAGTTGGTTGATACAAGTTAATTTGTTTATAATATAGGAATTAAACATACTACGTATGCTACGATTGTGTACATTCGACGACTACGTCGTGCTACAATGTTGACTTGACTTATGGTCCTATGTCCCCTAGATGGGGCAGAGGGCGTCCACAACAGTCCTCCATCTCGTTCGGTCTTGAGCTTCTCGCTTGATCTCGCTCCAGGTTTTGCCGATCTTCTTCGCCTCGTCCGCTACAGTGCGCCGCCAAGTTTGCCTGGGTCGACCACAATGCTACAATGCTACAATGTTGCTACAACTAATGACTACGTCGTGCTACGGTATCGCTACGACTAATGACTACGTTTTGCTACGGATAAGTATGTCTACGACGCCGCTTCTTTGTGCTACGGAAATGTAGCTACGTCGTAGAATGTTAAGTCTTTTTGCTCAATCTATAATTATCTTATTATCTTCTATTATATAAAAGAAAGTCGTGTTAGTTACTCCACTTATAACTCAAGAACGGCTGAACCGATTTAGCTGAAAATTGTCAGGGAGGTAGTTTAGAGCCAGGAGAAGGACATAGGATACTTTTTATCCCGTTATTTATTGCCATTAAGGCGGAACAAAGTTCGCCGGGTCAGCTAGTTTATAATAAAAAAATATTTTTGCCCGTCCTACACCATTGGCCTATAAATTGTCACCTTAACATAATCTAAAGAACTATGTCAAAGCTTCGTAAAAATTTACTGTGGAATAAATTCTGTACCCCCAGTGAAAACGGAGTTAAGTCGAAAATGGTGATTTTTGGGNAGTTCCAAATCAAATTCCCGGCGGTGGCAGCCTCAGTCCGGCGGCGAAGTTACGGCGGGGCGGGTCTTGCGGCCGCCGGTAATGAGCCGCCTGCCCTGCGAAGATAAGCGCGCAGATACGTCACTAGTATTATACCTATTTATTACCTACCTCTAAAAGGCCAAATATTTTTTTAAAGATTATTAGCAATTGTATTGCACAAATTACTAATAGTCCCGTTAGCCCCTCGTGTTAAGCTAAATAAGCTTGTGTTACGAGTGGGCTCACCACAATAATCGAGCAGCGGCGGGATTCGAACCCGCGTTCCATCGGATCTCGAGTCGGCCAGTACGTCCCAAGTCCCAACATTTTTAACAGTGGGTGTTTTGTCTGATTTTCTGTGCAGATAATCTTGATAGAGCTTTCATAATAAACTTGAATGAGGTATCTGAAAAAACATAACTTTGTATTAATAACTGATATTCTTAATAAGTACCTACGTGTAATTTATTCGAAACATGTTTTGATATTGAACTACTAAAGACTGATTTTTCAATCGTTGGATAACTTTTAATTAAATAATAAGTTTGGCATATTGAAAGTTTCAGTATGGGAAATATGTCAAGTTTATTCTGCAGTTAAAAGATTTCTGACGATTGAAAAATCAGCCCTAAGACTTACTTACGTATGAAATAAATCGACTTTCATGATAAAAAGTAGGCATAAATTCGAGTACCTATATATCACATGTCCCTTCTGATTTTTTCCTCCCAAATCTATGGGCGAAGTTAAATTTTGGGTCCGCTCTCGAGACTACAGATATTTATCTGGCCGGCCGGAGTTTTTTAATATAAATGTTCTTTGTTCGTGACGCGGGAAAGTTTTAATGAAAATTCAAATAAGGACAACTTTTAACCTTTTATTTTTCGTGTTTTTTTTCGGTTAGAAATTGTTTTTGTTGTTTCAAGTACTTAGGCGAAACGACGGTCTGTTGGCCACGCTTCGGCAATTTACTCGGTTTAATTAAGTGTCTATTACTTTGATCGTTTATAATTAAACCTAAAGTTGGGTTTGGATTTATAATAAGACGTATTTTTATTTAGTTTTACCACTTCATAAAAATTGACCTGCTGCAAATACATTGAATCGAAACAGTTTAAATTAAGCATAAGTAGTCATTTCAAAAATAAAGTATATTTTATCAAGACAATCTCTTTCAAGTCAAGGTGTACTTACCTATATGAATCGCCATCAACTTATTTATTAGAGGTTTCTAGAGATTTCTGTATATTTCTTATGAGGGCAAACAAAATGTATCTATGTATTTACGTTGCAAGGGTCAGAATGGTAATTTACTTTACGGCCGTATCAATTCAAAGCCGAAGTATTTGCCCAGGCCTCTCATATTTCGTCAACAGCCTCCTAATGACGGCTCCTATTTGCGCCCTGTTTGCCTGAGGGACAGGGCCTGGGCAAATAAAGCCCTTTTTATTTGGTCTACGCCAGCGTTTTAATCAAGTGACCCCATACTTAATTACTTAACGGAATTACGTGAAGTTGTGGCCGTTTTTAATTAGCAAGCCTTGCCAAGTGTCGGGATTTACTAGCGGGCAGTTAAGCAGCAACTAATTTTGGAACTTATTAGGGCGAAAATATTATTAGAAAAGTTTTATATCATTAATTTAAAATATTTTGTTAGCGTCAATCGTAAAACATAATCAGAATTTAAATAATATGTAAGTATTTGTAAACAATAGTCTAAGATGTCAAAGTTGCGACCTGTAGGTTAGGATAGGTACTTGATTAAACTACGGCTTCAAAATTTAAAAACCACTACTACTAAAGTAACAAATTAAGCCTTTTATAGGATCTTAAATTTGTTCCCACAAATAGTATGTAATTTCAGTAAAAAAATTGTTTTTTTTTTTTACTTTTTTAATTTAACTTTTATTTTCCTTTTTTGTAAATATTGTATTTTTTTTTATATAGTATAGTTTTTAAGTTTATAAATTACCTGTACAAATTTAGTTTGTTATTGTTTAATAAAGTTGTTCATTTCCAGTAAAAAATTATGTTATCGAGCTATTATTTCCATTTGTTAAGATAGCAAATTAAATTGTCCAGTAGTTAAATTCCGCATGTGTTTGCAAACACCAATATTTATCTTGAATCTAACGCGTCCGTCCAATGTCTTTTTACACTGACCAAAAATTAACACGCTAAATCGCTTCCTGCATTGTACTTTCAATGAATCCCAAAACTCATTACCGGCAAAATTACATTTCCCAAATACGAGTACGGGCGATCGTCAAAATGGAGGCCGTAAAATGAGTCGCCATTTTGCCTTCGACCTTTCCCTCGCAAATTAAAATTCTCAAACCGTCCGCACTTTGAAAAAGATATAATGGGTGTTCTTTCATCTTCCGTGCCCCTGCTGAGCCTTACCGCGGGGCGCTGCCAACCGCGCGGGCTGGACGGACAATAGGCTAGTTTCCTAAAAAAATTTTTTTAGTCCGTTATGTTTAATATTAAAAAATATTGGACACGTATATTTTTATTTGTCATTCTAACAAATAATTACATAGTTATGGTGCGTTGAAGTTCCGCACGACGTCACAACGTGCGGCACTTTTATTGCAAGCATTGACGTCACGGGCCTCTTCTTATGAACTTTGGCGCGCTTTATCTCTTTAAATTTTCATTAGTTTGAAAAAGTGAAAAATACGTGTAGAGTATTTTTTGANTTAGGCGGTTTCTGACAATGTCCTTTGCTACTAATGGTTAAATATTAACAAAATGTAAACAAATAGTTAAAAAATGTACTAAAAGTCAAGCTAACCATTGTTCGAAAAACATTTTTCTCTGATATTTAACCACTTGTCATTTGACATCTGTCAAATTTGACCATTGGTTATTTTAACTATGAATCAAAAAACCGGGCCAGAGATGCAGACAGGTACACTACCCGCGCAGTATAATTTCATAGACATAAAAACATAAAAAGTCTTAGTCAAAAGAGGAAATTTTTAAAGTAGTAGGTTACATACCTACTACTTTAACATTAATCACCTTTTTTGGACGACTGTCCATATCGTGCA